CGTATGTATCAGGCTCCAGAAAGGGATTACTCGGCCTCCTCTGAGCCTCCCAATCTAGGACGTCAACCTGTAATTCTTCTTTAACCAGTTACTGTTCTACTTCACCTCACTTAAAGCACAACTTTGGATCTGTTTTTATTTTACTGCATTAGTCATGCCTGCACCAATTTGAACTGGTTCAACGCCCTGCTTTGGATCACTCTGCACGGTTTGCCTCTCCTACAGCGCCAAGAGGGCGTAGACCTCAGTGGCTAGCACCTGTGAATTTTGATGACACACCCTCCCCAGGAACCCTATCTAATGAACAATGTGTGCGGCAGCATGGAAGCCCACTCCTTTGATTCAGGTTGAGACATATTCCAGAGGTCCCTGGATGATCAGGCTGAAGCTACCCTCCATGGGATTTTTATTTTTTAAACATGGCCTGGCTTACTTTGTCCCAGTTCTGCTGGCTCCACTCCATATTGGCTTTTTCTGGAAGTACCTTCTTCATCAATCACTCGCTCATGAATTTACCTCTCGGAGTCTGCCTTTTGGGAACTCAACCTAAGACACTGATCTCTCTTTCCTAAGTGTGGTGCTGAACAGATTATGAAATTCATTGAAGATTTATTAGTGCAAGGGTTCTTGATATAAAAAATAGAAACACCTTTTAATGAAACCTTAAAATGCTAAAGTATAATATATTCAGGGATTCTCCATACAATTACGGATACTTTCTCAAATGGGATTTAAAAACCTTGGGCATATTGAACTTTTGCTTGGCATAGGTAATGAGGGATTAGATAAAATTACATAAATGAAAGGGCTTCAGAAGTTTGTGGAAAATGGAATTAACTTTTTCTAGGAATATTTTGAAGTCTTGTGTATATATACAAAGCTTCAGAAATTTTGAGGGGGAAATTCTATTATATTTTAATTTCATTTGCTTTAGCTACTCACAATGTCCACTGACATCAATTTTGGTCTTTTCTTCCTTTCCTGTATCCTAAATGACCTTATGATTTCTTCATGTTTGAGATCCTTGATGTCATTCCACAACTTGTCTGATCTTTAGTCATTAGTGTACAATTCATCAAATCTCTTCTTGAAATGTTCTCTAAATCCAGGTGGCAGATACACAAGGTTGTACCTTGGCTCTTACGGGTTTGTTTTAATTTTCTTCAGCTTCGACTTGCATTTGCTCGTGATTGCTGGATCGTCTGCTCCACTGCCAGCCCCTCACCTCGTTCTGATCTGACGCATGATACTGAGCTTCTCTTTCCACAGATATAGCCAATTTGATTCCTGTGCATTTGGTTCAGGGAGGTTTGCATGCATAGTCCATTGAGGACAGTGAATAATCGAATCCATCAGTCTTCTAAGTGAGCTGAGGGGGTCAGGTATTCATAGACTGAGGCAGTGACCAGGGTCCAAAGGAGCGGTCCCTCTGGGGTTATCCCCAGACTTGCACATGAGAGCCTATTGTGCTCTCAAGCCTATTTTGACTCAGAAGGAGTCCATGTGGCAGAGGAGAACCACCCCAGAAGGTCTTCAAGGATGCAGTCTTCACGGGAGCAAAGCACCAGGTCTTTCTCCCTGGGAGTCTCAGGGTATGGTCCAGCCACAGCCTTTCAGTCAGCAGCTGAGCACTGAAATAAAGGTTGCACCCCAAATTTCCTGTCAGAATGGAAAGTGGTTTGTTGAGGGTGAAATTAGACAAAAGATATCTAGTACAGTCATTGCCATATATAGTAATTGTTTATGTTGTGGAAGAAAAAGGTATTTTCAATGATGAGGTTGTTGGTATTGCAATATTTTCCCATATCATTCCCACCCTGGTTTCTGTTTCCAACGATCAATTCTTCTTTTTCTTCTCTCACATTCAAACCACCAGTGATGATCAGGACATGTACCTTCCAAGCATACCCAAGTTCAGACTAGAGAATTTGGTACAGATCTTCAATTTATTCCTCTTTGACATTAGTGTTTGGTGAGCAAATTTGAATAATGGTCCTCTTAACTGTATGAGATGGTGTAACTGTTTATGAAGAAGTAATATGATATCCATATAGAAACATTGATTTTTAATACCAGGGTTTTGATATAATCTAATGTAAACTTCTATGACCTATGTTTTACCTAGAGCACACTGGAACAAGTATTTGTATACATTTCTTTTTTTTTAATTAATTAATTTATTTTTAATCATTTTATTAGGGGCTCATACAACTCTTATCACAATCTATACACACATCAATTGTGTAAAGCACATTTGTACATTCATTGCCCTCATCATTCTCAAAACATTTCCTCTCCACTTAAGCCCCCGGCATTAGGTCCTCATTTTTCCCCTCCCTCCCCACTCCCCCCTCCCTCATGAGCCCTTGATAATTTATAAATTGTTATTTTGTCATATCTTGCCCTGTCTGACGTCTCCCTTTACCCACTTTTTGGTTGTCCGTCCACCAGGGACGAGGTCACATATAGTTCCTTGTAATATTGGTTCCCTCTTTCCAACCCACTCTCCCTCTACCCTCCCAGTATCGCCACTCACACCACTGATCCTGTAGGGATCATCTGCCCTGGATTCCCTGTGTTTCCAGTTCCTATTGTATACATTTCTATATGCCTACATATTCCCTAATTAATGGCTTTGCTTGGGCTTCATAAAAACATATTATGTGTGATTGCAAGAATGTTTTTCACAGGGTCAAAATGCACTGCTGACTCGCACTAATGTGTGGAATCACAATTAGTGTGTAATGTAGCCGCCTTTTTCAATTACAAATTAAACCATGGCCCTGTTAGATTAAATTTAAATTACATCCTTGGTGGTTTAATGGTTAGTCTCAAGGTCAAGGGTTGGAAACCACCATCTGCTCCGAGGGAGAAAGACGAGGCTTTTTACTCCCGTCAAGTTTTAGATTGTGAAACACACAGGGACAGTTCTACCCAGTCCAATAAAGGTCGTTTTGAGTCAACATCCACTCAATGGCAGCAAGGTTTTATTTTCTCTTTGCTTTTTAAATTTGGAATATCTCAAAATATCCACTAGGTGGTGGTCTTGTAATACAAACAATCTAAGCTCTGTACTGAAATGCAGCCTGTCATTTGGGTTTGTGAAGCCCTTCTATACTAAGCGGATTGGGATGATTTAGTATTTAGGTATGAGATCCCACAATATTCTGGGGAGTGCCTAGTGAAATGATGAAGAGGTGTCTTTGGTCTGATTCCACCCTAAACAAGTCACGTTCCGTTCTGACTGGCGATGTTGGCTGCAACCTTTCTTTCATTGCTACACTGCTGACTGACAGGCTGGAACCTACCTGGAGACTCCCAGGGAGAAAGACCTGGGGCTTTGCTCCCTTCAAGCATACAGCCTACAATAGGGTGGTTCTAACCCTGCCACAGGGGGGCAGCACAGCCTTAGGCAGCTGTGTATACGTCTGGGGACAACACCACGATGACTGCTGCTTTGGAGCCTGGCCACTGCCTCAGTCTATGATAGCTCACCTCCTCAGGTGAATTAGAGTGCGGGGGTGGGGAAGACGACCAGATTATTATCTGCCTTATGCTATTTGGATTAACCTCTCTCCTGTCAGTCCTGGAGGAACAACTGACGGTGGGTGACGCATGTTGTGAAGGCGAGGGCGTGCATTTCTGAGGTGACCTACACAGAGGGCTGCCTTAGCTCTCTCCCCGGGCCTGCCTGCTGCCCCGGGGTTCTCCATGAGAGAAGAATATTTCAGTCGATGCCTCAACCTGTAAATGAAGTCGGAGTTTAGGATTATTCACATTCTCTTTGGGGAAACAGGAGTGAGCTGCCCAGAAAGGCAGCAAGATGGCAGCCTTGTTCCTGCGCCATTGTTCCACCACTGAAAGTTGATGGCTATTCCGTGTAGCCAAAGGACAGCGATCTGTTTGTCTTTGTTGTTGTTGTTTGTTTTGTTCTTATGGCAGTGTGAATCAGAACCCACAGAGAGCGAGGATGTGATAAGTGGGCTGGCGAGTACTAGGTACTCCTATCCCGTTCCACTGAATAAATGTGGGATACCTCTGATTAAAGAAGCAACACCAGGTGAGACGGTGGAGCAGGGACTCCGTCTAGAACAGGTGTTAGTTCGCAAAGCCTCAGTCTTTGTCTTTTGAAGATAGCTGTGGACTGGCAGTGCCCGAGTGAGGGCCGTCTAACTTACGTGTCATCCGTATGAACCAACATCGACCCATATGTCAGAAAGCAAACTGGGCCGTGTGTAAAAATTAAAGTATTTTTTGAAGGACCAGTACCAGGTAGTGCACATCATGCGGATTCACCAAAGTACTGCATCGACAGGCGATGTTCACAGACTGCAAATACAGAGGATCCAGGAACCTGTACGAAGAAATTCTGTTTGGCTGACATTTACAAAATCATGCTGTAACAGACACGAGATTATGTCAACACCCATTAAACATTATTTTGCTAATCATAAAAATTAGTCACTTACCAACTTAATAGACGGATATTTCAAACATCCGCCAGAGTGCATGGTCTTCCTGAGAGAACGCGTTGGAGTGAAGGGTGAGGATTGCAGGGGGGCACCTGCAGGCTTCCTGAGGCAGGCTGGCAGGCAGGCTGCATAGTCAGCTCAGAACGAGCCCCAAACACAAGAAAAAATGAAATGGAGTCTGGCCTGCATCTTTGGCAGCTGCCTCTTCTTATGCCAAACACTCAATTCTTTTGAGCTCCTTGACAAAGCCCATTATATTGAAAATGTGAGGTCCATATAGGTAACGGTTCATAATAGCAAATGGGCACAGGTCCTTTGGGGTACACATCAGAACAGTACTAGAATTATAGTATTATTATCGGAGAGAGTTTTGAGCATATCTGGAAGTGTTTCTTTAACATTTATGTATAAAAAGGTACATTAAAGAAAGATTGTGTAGTTTATTAATTCTCTGGTGAAAAGCCCACGTAATCCGTGCAGATCAAGTCGCTGTGGGATCGTTAGTCTTCCTGTGATCCAGTCTCCAGCTCACTTCCTGCCAGCTCCGACACTGGCCTTCGCAGTCCCGACTCTTCTCCTGTTCTTGCTCCTTGTGCTGTTTGCGTGGCGTCTCTGTCTCGCACACAGACCGTGTCTTGCAAGTCTGCATCTACGTTCCTTTGTCTTTGCAGAACCCAAAGAATCATCGGTCACGCCGAAGCCAGTCGTCTTGCTGCCAACAAAATGGGTTCTAAATCCAAACGCAAAAGTGACATCTGGTGTGGTCTGGTACATTGTGGCTAGTTTTTCCACAATTTTCTGTCTTCTGCCAGGGCGAAGGACATCAATGACCATTTCATTTTCCCGGAAGTAGTCGGTTGGCCATGAACTTCCGGTATCATTCATGGTGGCGTAGAACGTGCAAGCAGCCAATCATATCAACGCACCTGGAAGGACCAAAAAGGTGCATTATACACTATATCCTAAGATAAAACGTGACAGACTCACATTAGATACGAAACATAGCTGTTCTGCTTTATGTGAGAATTCTACTTCAAGATAGATTTATGAACAGACCTGTCTGTAACCTGCGGAATGCCTGGACATGCACAGGGGAGCCACCTGGGGAGCCTTTCAGTCTCCTGAGGCCTAGGCCCATCTCCAGTCTCTCCGGGGCGTAGCTTCAGATATCAGCGGTCGTCACACTTTGAAACTTTCCCAGGTGATCCTCATGAGCTGGGGCTCACTTGATGAAGCCAAAGTTCACTGCCAGAGAGTCAATTCTGACTCAGAGGTCCCTACAAGTCAGGGTGGAAGTGCCCTGGTGGGGTTCAGAGACTGAAAGTCTTTATGGAGGTAGGAACACCTCATCTTTTATCCCTGCAGCAGCTCATGGCTTTGAAATGCTGATATTGCAGGTAACAGCCCAACACATAACCCCCTATCTCTCCTCAGCTCCTCCCTAGATTAGAGACGCTGCTCTTAACTTTGTGGACAAGTTGTTCCAGTTGAGAAACCTTGCCTCAAACCCAGTTGGACATCAACAGTTGTGTGTGTGTGTGTGTGTGTGTGTGTGTGCATGCACCAGTTTTGATATTCATAATAGAGGAATTTTGTTGTTCAACAGAAAGTTATCCCATTTTTAACTCCAAACCATTCTATTCCACCCCACTCCCCTTGTCCCTTTCCCTCTTTTAACGTTCCCCTGCCCCTGCTTTTTATGAGGTTGTGGTCAGCTGTGAAGTATGTACCACAGAACAAAATGCTGCCCAATCCTGCCCCAGCCCCACAATCGTTGTGTTTCAGCCCATGTTGCAGCCACTGTGTCGATGCAGCTTATTGAGGCTCTCCCTCCTTTTTGCTGACCCTCGTTTACAAAGCAGATCGCTATCGCCTGATGACCCATCTCAAGTACTTGAGTCAAAGTCTCGCCAGCCTCCCTTCTAAGGAGCATACTGGCTGTACTTCTTCCAAGACAGATTTCTCCATTGGTCTGTTGTGTGTTTAATAAGCTTAGCAAACACTGTAAGTCGAAGGCATCAATTCTAAAAGGGATCACAGTAGAGGGTCCTGAAGAAGGTTGGAGGAGAATGTGGAACAAAACTCAAAATCTGACGAAAGACAAGGTTACTGGTCTGACAGAGACTGGGGGCACCCCTGAGACTATACGCCTTGGTCACACATCAGGCCTGGATCTGAACTCACCTTTGTGACTCCACTCGCTGCCAAATAATACACAGGCCTGTGAGGTGAACAGTAATGCAAGGGAGATCCGCACGTCTCAGGACAATCAGCCCTGTCAGCATATCAACAAAGCTCTGAGAGCAGGAAGGGAGAGGAGCAGAAACAAATCAGTTGTGAAGACTGCGATGTATGGAAGGATCCAAATATATGCCTTGTTGAAGGGAAAATCAATTTGCCCTGTAAATTTAAAGCAAAATAAAATGGTTGTTTTTTGGCACATTAGGGACAATAAAAAATAAAAATACAAAAACAAAGGTGTCAATTCTTTTGTCTTCCTTCTGTATCGCCAGTTGTCAGGTGCAAATGATGAAACTGAAAACCCCACAGCTCTGGTGGTCAGGCGAAGCCAGGTCCTCAAAGCGATGTCTTTCCTAACACTTCTACGAGACCATTTGCAGCACATATGCCCAATGCCTGTGTCATTTGATTTCTTGACTGCGGCCAACATGGGGGCTCATTGAGGGTTTATTGCTTATTAGCCATGTTTTGCGGGTTTTTTGTTTTCTTTATATTAAGGTGTAATCCGTACTGAAAGCTAGACAGTGTTTGCTCTTTACCAGGAAGTGTTCCTAATCCTCCTCATCATCGTCGGTGAGCCAGGTTGTCTCATCTACATGCGGCAGACCGCCCCCTCTACCTCTGACCCTCAGTTCTTCTTCGATTCCTTAAATAGACTCTTCTTATCCAGACTGGCTTGCTATGGGGAATGGGTATGACCCTAAGGGACACCTTCCTTGATTTTAAACCATTTAGGGTCCCCTTGTTCTGTTTAAAGATTGCCTTTTGTCCTATGGTCAGGTTGTGGGTGAGGACAACAAAATGTCTTAGAATTCCCCTTCTTTGCAATGTTATCCATAGTTTGTTATATCTACACAGTCCACTGCCCTTTGCATAGCCAGTAAAACACAGGTAAACCTCTTTGTTATTTTCTGATTTCAGCAAGGATCCATCTGATATCAGCAATGGCATTCCTTGTTCTATGACTTCTGAATCCAGCATTAATTTTTGACATTTCCGTATTGATATACCGCTGTTACCACTGTTATCACAGAAACCAGATTCTCCACCTGCTGCCAATGCGACTACCCTGAACACTCCTAGACCGGGCTTTGGAAAGCAGAAAGGCAGCTTTATTTGTGTAATTGATCAGGCAAAGGAGACACGTTCAGAAAGGAAAAACCTGGTTCTTAATAAAAAGACGGAACAAAAAGGAGTCCTGGGAAAGGAATGTTAATACCAACTCTGTATCCTTGTTGCAGAGCATTGAGCAGATTGTCTTTTTGCCCTTTCTCAAAACTTGAAAGAATAGGCCTCACTCTCCCAGGTTTGTGATCTCAGGACTTGAGATACTAAGCATGTCCTTGGGAATGGTTCATTGTTGTGTGCAGCTGTTTGGTGAAATGAGCTGGAGCACCAGTTATTGTGTAGAGAAAGAGTCGCTCGATCTCTTGCATTTTCAAGCAGTAACAAGATGTAGGGTTCATGTAGGTTTAGCTTGAGACAGGTTCTAACAAGGTCAGCTTAGCGCAGAATGTGGAGGTAAGGGCCGGCAGCCTCTACTCTCCTCTTCCTCCCTCCCCTAGGAGAGATTTCACACTCCTAATAAGTCATGAGAGAACATGGGCAGACGTCTCTTTTTCTGTAGCTTCTTGAAGTTGGGGTGGGATGCATTTCCTACCCAGCAGAGTAGAAAGCTTGGCTTACAGTCACAAAGGTTGAATTTACATTCATTCTTAGTAAGTGAACCACGCTGAAACCATAAACTTCTCAATAATCTTTTAACTCCCTTCTTATGCATGTTCCTATAAATCTAGTTAGCCTTTTCTCCTTAAGTCATTTCAGTAATAATCGTATTACTTCCTAAAGGGTAAACAACAAAGGCAAATGAATCAATCACAAGTCAAACTCTAGAGGTGCGTACAATGCAAGAGGTTTCAGCAGCTTACTAAGGCCTGAGGTGACTTCATTGCTACAACCATTTTAAAATTATGGTGAGCAAAAATTTCCTTGTGTGTGCTATTCATGACACTGTCTGATAACTTCTGCAGTTTATTGAATCATCTTTCTTTGAAATGGGCACAAATATGGATTTCTTTCTGTCAGTGGGCCAGATAGCTGTGTTCCAAATTTCTTGGCACAACAGTGAGTGATTCTAGTGCTGCCTCTATTTTTTAAAACATCTCAACTGATATTTCGTCAGTTCCTAGAGCCTTGATTTTAGCGAATACCTTTGGTGCAGCGTGGACTTCTACCTTCCATACTCTCAGTGCTTGATCTTATACTGCTCTAGAAATGGGTGAATGGTGAGCAGTTCCTTTAGGTGCAGGGGCTGTGAATTCCTTCTGCTTTATTTTGATGCTCCTGTTCCGCATTTCCCCATAGGACCCTTCAATACTGCATCTAGAGGCTTGAATTCTTTTTCAGGTCTTTCAACTTGAGACACGCTGAGCTTATTTTGTCCTTTTTGCTTTTTTAACTCTAGGCCTTTACACATGTCACCTTCTTGAGCTGCCCTGTGAGACTTTTGTTCAGTTCTTTTACTTCTTTATTTCTCCCTCTGGCTTTGGTTTCTCTGTTTAAGAGCAAGTTTCAGTGTCTTTTGATAGCCACACCCCTTCACCCCCATCTTCTTAATGATCTTGAACTTTCTTCATGTAGGATGTCCTTAATGTCATCCCACAACTTGTCGGGTCCCTACATTCAGGGAGGATACACACATTTCCGGGGTTCATTTTCCATTTTGACATGAACAGCATGGGACCTAGAACTCTGGAGAGTTTGAGTGGTTCATTTGTGGAATAAACGTCAGGCTTGCTTTAAAATTCCTGCCCGATTCTCCGCACCCCGTGACACCTTGTTAGTCTGTGGCTCCAGACAGGATTTCTGCATTCTAGAGACCTTCTGTTTCTGAAGAGGAATCCTGGTGGCATAGTGGTTACGAGTTGGGCTGAGATCTGAAGGGTCAATATCACCTACTGCTCCCCAGAGGAAAGACAGAGCTTTCTCCTCCTGTGAAGAGTTCGTCTTGGAAACTCAGAGGCAGTTTACCTCAGTTCTGCCCTGGTTCTATAGGGTCGCTGTGAATCAGCATTGACTGAAAGGCAGTGAGATTGGTTTTGGTTTGGTTTCATTACTGAAGTCATGGCTAAGACAGTGTGATATATTAATATTTCAGGTAATCTTTGGCATTGGCATTTAAACCAATGTTAACAGGAAGTAGTGTGAGATTATGGTTTGTATGTAGTTTAGATTTAAATTAATGCACAGACTCCCTGAGAGATGTTAAACATTGAGAGTATGTGAGAGACAGGCTAAGGGTTCCAGAGAACTATTTGGCATGGAACTTAATTCCTCTTTAATTGGTAAACCTCTATTTCTATGGTAGTATAGAAATTTTAGGCATCAGTGCTTTTCTGCCTAAGACATAAACATATTGAATTAGTGGGAAGCCAGATCACTGGTTTCAATAGCTACTTCTATTTTCTTTTGTTGATATGTTGAAATAGTTGAACACTTGCATTCATCTCATCCTATTAAAGGAACTCCATCAGGGAATAGTGAGGTAACACATTTGGTGACAGCAGGCTTAGTCACCCTGCTGTGAGAAAGAGATGACTAATGTTTTTAATCCTACATCTACTGACTTTATCTCTTTAAAAATG